AGGTACATACAGTTTTTCAAGTTGTCGTGAGAAAAAATAATTTTATTTTTAAAAAACAATTGAAAAGAAGACCACAAACTTTTTAACAATATGGGGGCAGAGCACAGGGCTTTTCTAGTTTATTGTAAAACACTTATGTACTTTGGAGAGTGTTTTAGTTAACAGAATAGATTGCCATTTCTTCTTAGTGATAACAATAAAGGTGAGCAGGTATATTTCATTTTAAAATTTTCATCCTGAAATTTGCATGTTTAATGGTAGGTTTTTAAATGATTCTCTAAATAAATCAGTGCAAGATTTTCAAATCTACACTTTGATCCAGAAAAATAATGACCTAATTTATCAAAAAATTAGAGCTATAGATAATGCATTTACAAAATCATGCCTCTTATAGTTCCTAATTTTTTTAAATATCTATCTTGCAAATGAAATAAATATTTGACTAGTTTACAGAAGCAATTATTATTTTATTTTAAAAACCTAAATATAATTAAATATTAATGAATAGGGAATCCTTTTGCATGGATGAATAGTCAATAGATTTGTCTTATAATAGTATGGTGAAAAAAGCACTTAAATTTGAAATTCTTATTATGCTATAGGTAAATAAAGAACTCTCTGGTCTACTTAAACTACTTTTTACTATCATTTGTAATGTCATATTGGTGTAAAATGGGGTTTTCTTATATAATTGTTATAAAGACAAAATATCAGACTCAATTAGTGGTTAAAATTATTTACAAGAAAAATATAATCAATGAACTTGATTATATTGTCTTGAGAAACTTGGCAATGAAAAATAAGACTACTCATAAAAAAAGAATTTTATTTTGGTTATTTTACAAGATATAAATATGAAGATATAAAGGATTTGATCAACAAATTCCTTTATATTTTGATATTTTAATTATACATTTAAGATTTGTTTGTTATAAAATTGTGGTAAGTTAATAATTTTATCCTAGCAAAATGTAAGCTATGTGATTTTTTTTAAGTCATGTATTTTTATAATTTAAAGGTAGATATGAGTATCTGCAATGAGTTCAAAGATTGTTTTATGAAAAATGAGAAAGGCATAAAGGGGGCATTGCTACATAAAATTTGAAACCTACTACCTTACAAGCATGTTTAGAGAGATCAGAAATGAGACCCATGTCTTTGTTTCTCTTCTAGCATGATGACTATGACAGAGGCTATCCTGGTATTAGAGAATCCATTTTTCAGTAAGAGCTGAGTCTGTAATGGAAAGCCAGTTCAGATACTGCCTGGCTTCATGTTTTCTGAGACTTTGTCCCTTCCATTCTAAGATTGTGTATGACAGCCCCAGTCATGGCACTTCCACCAACATGATGGAAATGTCCCTTCCCTACCCTGTCCTTCTGAAAGGCCTGGTACAGGTTCACCAGCTCAGCACATAAGTACAGATATTGTGGTCTGTGACTTTCAGGAAAGCATCCCAGCAGGAGCGACTTGCTCAGGTTCTAGTGATAGCCTATCTAGTGACAGTACTAACTGTCACAGCCATGAGACAGGGTTTGAGAGCTGAGATATACCTCTTTGAAATCCTTATTTTCCTTCAAAGCTCAGCTTAAATGTCACATCCTTCCTACATGAGGCCTTTTCTGATCCCTACCTCCCCACCCCAGCTGCCAGTACCTTTCCCACCAAATAATTTTGCATTTATTTTTATATATTTTGCATACTCTTATCTGCAGATCATCCCCATCAATTGAATGTAAGGCCCTCAAGGGAAAGAATTGTTTCACTCTTGTTCTTGTGTCCACGGAGTCTAGCATAGTGCTGAGTACGTAGTAGACACCCAATAAACACTTACTGATTGATTGATAACAGGGTGTATTATGCCTGGATATTTAAAAATCTTGGTTGATATGCAATTAAATGATCCCTTTCTGGAAAGGAATAGGGTGAGTTGTTGGAGTTAGAAAGAATATATTAAGTCTGTGCGTGTACACGTGTGTATGTGTGCGTGTGTATGTGTATTGACAATATACGTAAGAAGAATGCCAAGCCAACACCATGAGAGGAGGGGGCCACCAACCTAATCAGAGAACGTGGTCCCCTGAGGAATGATAGTGCCAGCTTCACCATAATCCATGCTTCCAATGCAATGCCTATAATCATGTAGCAAGACAGTGCCAATGAGTTTAGAGTAGGAGGTATAAAAGAGAAACTTTAAGTACACAAGGAAGCTCTGAGATTGGACAAAAGAGGGCTAGCCAAGATACTTAAGTATTCCAAATTATGGTCATATCAGTTTCAACAGGACAATCACTTCTAATGCAGTGGCACTGGTCACCTTGTCTAGTGGCATAGGCAATGGTTATTCATGAGGGAGAGAACAACCAATAGCATGAGAATAAGTCTTGTTTTTTCCTGTTTACCATCAAGTAAGTTTTAGACCTGGAACAAAAGATAGTACAGACCAGAAGAGCCTAAGTTCTGCCTGTTTTTGGTTCTTCAGAAAATTATGTCACTCACACCTCAGCATTGAAACGAGTTTGCTATTTTATATGAAGACTGCTCCAGACAGAGAAGAACCTTTGGGAGGAGGATTAATATGGCAAGAAACCATTTTATTGACTTGGGGTGGAAGAATGTAATTCAATCCAGTTATTTGGAGAGTGGTCAATATGGTATCCCCAGGGATAGTGTTTGCCCATTTGTGGCTTAAGAAATGCAGCCCCTGACTCTATTTGATTTTGGGTGAACGTACTTTCCCCAAACCTAGATCTCATAGGTAAGGAATCAATCCTTCTCAAGACTGTATTATAACAGCTTACTTGGAAAGATAACCCAAATAAGTTGTCTTCCCATGAACGTAAGAAGTGTCTAGAGAATAAGGCTTTTAACTTTGACCATCTGGGACAGATAGAGAGAAAAAAGAATTCACCACTTCCTGTCTTGCCAGTGTAAAGGTGGGATTAAAACCTTCCCCCATCATTTTAATTCCATTACCTTTCAGGAAGTGAAAGTAATTGATCAATCAAAAGACCTTAGACTGGAAGTTATTGGATCCAAGTGAAATGACACCAGACAGAAAGCTCGTTCCAATAGTCTGAAGAAAATTGACCCTGACCAGGAATCATCTGTAAAATTGAAGTGCGTTGAGAAGTGTGTTGTTCCCAAATTGGAACAAATGTGGCTTTCTAGCACTGCACTGAGGGAGGAGGACCTTCCAGGCATGGAAAGGAGTGGTCTCAGCATTACCTTTGACCAGATCTCTCTCTTCACATTCCTCTTTTAGCCTGAGCATTGCTTCGCAAGTTTCAAAGGGTCTGGAAATTCTGAACATTCCATCTCCCCATTGGGGTCTTAACTGGTATCCCAGAAGCTTGTGGGAGTGTATGCGCTGGTAGCCAAGACTAGATGGAAACAGATTTACAAGCCACTTCTTGAGTATCCCTTTAATGAGCACCCCACTACGGCTCTCTAAACTTGAGTCTGCTTCCAACTTCAGCTCTGCATGTATGTATGAAAGAGTCTGGCACGGATCTAGGGAGGAAGTTTTGTGCCAACTGTACCATCTTAGTAAGTAACCCTTTCTAAAATCTATTTTAGGCTTGCTGACTAAATTATTCTCAACTGATAAGGTTGTAGGGGAGGGGAAGTACAGCCTTGGGGGTTGAAGCCAATGAAAATAGAGACACGTTCCTTGATTCTTCAAGGGTAACCCCAGGACCCTGAAAGGAAATGTATCCAGCCTAGTTCTTGGTATGTGACTTGTCAGTGAAATGGGAGATAGGAGAAGAATCCTCAGACTATAGCAGTCTTATACATTACTCCTCCTTTTCCTCCTCCTCCTCCTCATCACCACAGCCAGCATTTACCTAGCACTTTGAGGTCTGCAAAACACTATACAAATATTATCTTATAATATCCTCGTAGCAATCCTGGGAAGTAGGTGCTATTATTATCTCCATTTTACAAACAGGGAAACTGAGTCAGACAAGCAAAGCATGGAAAATTAAGGAAGTCGAATGGTACTGTGTAATTGGAGCTGAATTTTGAATCAGAGAGGAAGTGGGTTTGAATCCTGATAATAATTACATCTATGACCTCAAGCAAACCATTAACCTCTTCAAGACGCAGCTTCCTCAAATATAGAATGGAGTTAGTTGATCAAGGTAACTCCTGAGGTCCCTTCCAGACCTAAGTCTATGGTTCTATGATTATAGCAGTCTTCAAAGACTTGAAGCTGAGTTTGCCTAAAGGTCAACGGAGAGGTGGATGATGGTCTTCATCACGCTGCAGCATGTTGCCAATGAAAAAGTTAGCAAAATAAATGACATAAAAGATATCATCAGAAGGACAGCTGATTGGGGGAAAAGAAGAGCTGTTTACAAGGAAGAACTAGGAAATATTAGAAATCATACAGGCTCTATTAGTATCTGTAAAATATTAGATCTAGAGAAAAATGCAATGCACTTTGGGTTCCTCCCCACACTACCCCATCCCCAGGCCCGATGTATTAGCTATAGGAAAATATAAATGGGAATTGCACAGGATGAACAATTACGTGGGGGTTGCAATCTGTGTTAGTGGAGGGAATGTCCACCTAGAAGAGATCATATATCCACAGAAATATCAAAGTGTAAAGCAATAAGGAAGTAGATGGTGATTAATTAATCAATTAGAATTTATTCATCACCTAGCATGTGCCAGACTACTAAATAATCAAAAGCAAATGTCACAAAATTGTTATTAAAAAAAAAAAGCTAGTCCCCCACCCCAAGAAGGGATACAAGAAGATATCTCACCCCATTCCTTTGCAGAAGTTGGGAAGAGGGAAGCACAGAACATTAGATATGTGTACAAATACACACAGACACACACATACATACATATATATTGTCCTTTTTTCTATGTACTGATCTGTTTTTCTTCTATTCTTTTTCTTTCTTCCTTCTTTCTAGTTCTTCTTCTAGTTTTCCTCCTCCTCCTCCTCCTCCTCCTCCTCCTCCTCCTCCTCCTCCTTCTTCTTCTTCTTCAATTTCTTTGTTTCAGGAGATGGCTCTCAGGGTAGGGGAGGGATATAGGTGAGAATCCAGGCAATATAAATCTAAAAGACACCAAAAATCTATTTTAAAGAAATTTCCACAGAACTCAAAAGCAACCTCGCCCAAGTCTTTCTTGTATTAAGATGACGGAGACTATGTGACAAAAACTAACTGCGTAATTCAATTTTTGAAATTCAGCCTGTCAGCCATATGTTTCCTCTCCATGTGATACAAACTGACAGTTTGAACTGATTTTTTTCACAGAATTGATCAGCTCCTTCCGTGTAGACACTCCCCACATACTTTGCATATAAAACACGTAGTGTTGTAAAGCACTGTGAGCGTACAGTGAGACATTTGGAACAACTCTGTCCCAAAAGGAAGGAATGGCTATATTGGCTTATTTTCGGTCTTTATCCTCCACTAACGGTCAGAAGATGAATGGGTCTTCTACCTTATTCATGTGGATATAACAGATCAATTGGTAGATGATAATTATGGTAACAATTTTAAAGACAGAACAGTATTCTATTGACAGAATTAACTGAAAACGAAAGAAACATGCCTTTCTAATTCTAAGGTATGGTTTCAAACTGTCTTTCCCAATCTTGAAAAAATTGGGTGTTTAAAAGAGAAGAATGACTAGGGGTTTCTGTGAAAGTTTATTTTAAAACTCCAACACTATCCCTTTGCCTCAGTGGGAAATTGTCTTTAAAAGACTCTGGGCTAGCCAGAAATCTCTGCAGGAACCTCTACAGAAATATTCTGTTAATGATTTCTAGATCTACCTTTTTTCTGTATTTGAGAACAAAGAGACGCCAGTCAATGGAATTCTCAAGCTGGGTCAGGTGAGCCACATCTGGAACTTGCATTTAATCTATTTGCTAAAAAAGCTAAAAAGAAAGAATATTATTTTTAGAGAGAAAGAAATAATTGATAATCCTCCTGTTGTTTTACTGTGTCTCAGCCTGTCAGGGAAACATGACTCTTTTGGGGGTAAAAAAAATTCAGAACTGTTTATCAATCTAGTCTTTGTTGCTCTCTCTATCTTGGAAGCAAATAACTGAATCTTAGTATCTTTGGGTTAGAACGTGCTTTTGAATTCTGATAGAATCCTATTTCTGTTCATTCTTAAATCCAGACAAACTTCATTTTCTACTTGGTTAGATTTGTCCTGTTGGGATTAGCATTTTAAAATGAATTACTGGGGGATTTCACAGTAACTTTGGAATCTAGCAACTATTTCTAAAGTAAATTGACCTTCATCATGAATATTAGAACCTACTTTGTCTTCCTAAAACAGCTGAATAGATTAGAATCCATTCAATCTTGACTCCAAATCTGAAGCCCTCCATTCCTGAGGGGGAAGGAGAGCACCGTGTGGCTAGAGGTAGAGCCCAAATCTAAACTCTGTTGAAAAAAACAAGGAGAGGAGAGAAGACTCCCGTCACCTATGACATAGACCTTACCTCAGAGCCTAGACAAAACAGAGAAATAAAGTACATAAATTACACGAAGGATTCAGCCAGCTCACGCAAACTGATTAGCTCAAATGTTAGGAGAAAAACAATAACAGGAAGCAAGAATGAAAGGTTGTTATGCGGCCGGACAAAGAGGAATGGTCATCAACCTTTTCAATTGACGTCAGGCTGGCCTCCTGTGATGTTTCAGGACAAGATGACCTGACCTTTTCATGTGTTGACTTCTACTTTCTTTTGCTCAGGTGTACTCTCTAAAGGTGTGTAGAAATGAATAGGGAAGTGACACATAGCTGACTTTCCTCTTACACGTTCCAGGGAGGTTATTCTGTGCCAAAGGGTTCTATCTAAACACATCCCAGGCCAAAACAACCTTCTTGCAAACTTTGGAATGAGAGTTTGTGTATGGAACTTGCAGAGTTTGAGGCTTAGTATTTAAGCAGTGTGACTGCCCACCTCCCCACTCCCACCCCCCATCTTGATGAGATGCAACATCTTGCCCCCGATTATAGAAAAAGGAAGCTTGTCCTTCATTACTCCCAGGACTTTCAGTTGTAAATAAAGAATTGCCTAAGTTGGCATGCAAAGCTATAATAGAAAAATGGCTTCACCTCTACCTCTAGTCTGAACCCTCTCTAACCCATTCTGCATACCAGTACCAAATTACTCTTTCTGAAGCAAAGTTTTTTACCATGTTTAAATCCTACTTAAAAACCTACAATGACTTCCTATTGCTACCTAATGTCTAAATTCTACTTCTGCCTACCTTTCAAAGCCTCTACAACCTGTCCAAACAATATACAACTAATATTATTCCTTAAAATTCCCACTATTCCCTAAAGTGCAACCTCCAGTCTAGTCAAGCAGGTCAAATCATTGCTGTCCACTATACCATACTCATTTTTACCTTAGTGCATTTTGTCACTATTTCTCCTCTATTCCACCCCCACTTTCATCCTGAAACCCTTTTTCTTCTGTATTTCACTTGCCTACCTCCTACATATCCTCCAATGACCAGCTCAAGTTCTACCTTAAGTACAGCCATTTTCTTGACCTAGCTAAACTGCCTCACTCATGTACTTCTGGAATTGATTTCTTGAATCTAAGGGTGAATCTTTACATTTATTCCTGTTACATTTCATTTCATTAGATTCAAATCTAATGAAATTTCCATTTCCTCTAAACCACTGTTACATTTAGAATCAAAACCATATTCTTTATTGTTCTCTCATTATTTGAGTGTGTTATTCTTGTCTCTCTGGTTATATTTTATGTTCCTTAGAAGCAAGGATCCTGTTTGGAGGGTTCTTCTGACTGGAATCACACAATTCTGGAGTTATAAGGAACCTCTAGAGATCATTTAGTTCCACCTGCATGAGAACAGGGGTCTCTTCTACATTTCAGTCAGGTATTCCCCCAGTCCTTGTTTTAAACCTTCAGGGGCAGGTCTTACTGGAGATAGCTCTGAATGTTGAGAAATCTTTCCTCATATCAATCCTGAATGTACCTCTTTACAATTTCTACCCATTATTCCAGTTCTACCTTTTTGGGCAAATCAGAACAAGTTTATTTGTTCTTCTAAGTGTTAAAGTCAAATGTTACTCCTTGCATTAAGAGTCTTTAGTTACCTTGCATAAAACCCAGCCTTAGAGTAACAATATATAGAAATTTATAGGAGGCAGCTAGGAGGTTCAATAGATAGAGCACTGGGTCTGGAGTCCAGAAAACCTGAGTTTAAATCCAGCCCTCAGACACCCACTAGCTGTGTGACTCTGGGAAAGTCACTTAACCTCTGTTTGCCTTAATCTACTAGAGAAGGAAGTGGCAAACCACTCTAGTATCTTTGCCAATAAACCCCATATGGGGTCACAAAGAGTTGGACATGATCAGTGAATAAACAACTACAAAACATAGAAATTTGAGGCTGTGGGTCTTAATGGTGACTTCTTTCTCAGATTTTCTTACCTGTGAATTTCTTGTCATCTCTACTACTGTTTTTTTGAATGCTGTAGTTACTTTTTTTGTTATCTAGATTTGTAGATCGGTACCATGAGCTACTTTCCCACCCACCTTTTCAGTTTAAAGTCCTTTTGATTAGATTTGCAAGATTCCAGGCAAATAAATTATTACTGGCCCCTATTTGATACATTCCATTGCTAACAAACAGCCCTTCATTCCTATATTTAATCCACAATGCAGAAATCGAAATCCTATTCCTAGACACTATGTACTTAACCATTAATTTACTTCCCAGGCCTTCTCTTTTCTCCAGAAGTCCTTGCCTACAAAGGGTGGGGCATCAGTAAAGAAAAAACTTCTGGTTATTTCTGGACACCTCTGGTGTCCTTACTGAATTTCTTACCCAAGACCCCGTGATTTTTAGTCATGTTTGCTAGGTTCTTTTTGATGGTATCATTTGTGTTTCTGTGACTCATGAAAGGTATGTATAAGTCATCAGTTTTGCCAAGTCTTGGAGGGTTTTTTCCCAGTAACATTTTGGATGTATGCCTTGGAAAGACAGCAGATCTTTCTGCAAAGGGTGTATGTTAAGGATAGATTTAGGAGACACATTAGACAAGATTGCACTGGGCCTAGAGAGAAGCCAGTTTTCACCGACAACTGTTACCTGACATCAGCTAGCTCCCTGGCCTCTTCCTAGTAACTTGCAGGTAGATACATGCCAATGAGCCCTCTTTCAAGGGTCCTTATTTTCTCCAAAACACACTGACCAGATTCACTTTTATGAACCCACATTCAATGAGCACATTACAAGTGATATATACACACTCATACACCCAGACTGAAGAGGGTGGTTTCTGAACCCTGAGGAGGTCTTTAGTTCACATTGTATCCCATTTAGTGGAATGCAACATGAGTTCTAATCAACTAAAGCCTGTCCCGCTGAACCAAAGGCAACAGATGAAAAACCATATAACCAGCAGGAAAGAGCTTGCTGATTATCATTAACAGTAACTGCCTTGACAAAGCACAGAGAATGACAACTCATAGGAACCTATTTTATTGTATGACTTACTTCTTTTTTTCTTCTTTCATCTTGTACGTATATGCTTGTGCTTTCTCTACCTTGTGGTGTTTTTTTTTTTTTGCTAGTTCTCCCCTCTACGTGTTCTGTTATACAGGAATGCAAGTCTTGCCAAACACACCCAGCTCTGCATTTACTATCTGTCAAAATTGTCGAGAGGCATGTCAACAGTGCATCACTGACATGTTTTTGTTTTTTAATCCCCGCTGCATCTCTCATTGCCATTGGCGAATAGTGTATGATCAATAAATACGTGCTGAATAAAATGCAGGTGGGTCAGAACTTTAAATGGAATGTGTTTCTGGGGACCATATCTTTAAACAGCTTAAAATGTGGTAAAATTCCTAAATAAATATAAACTACAGTCTTTATTTCTTGAGATTTTGGCAGAAAGGTTTCCCCAGGGCACATAAAAGCAGTGAAAAATAGCTTTTTATTGGACCAAATTGAATGATACTCCCAAATGTTCCCACAAATGAGTAGACTAGATGAATGATTTGTCCAACAAGGGACAAGATACTCCTTTGCTAGAAGAGAGCATCAGAGTCTTAATCTCAGGATTTTAGACTATGGATGATCCAGATGTTATGGTAGTAGGTTGGTTTAGATCAGTAGTGTCAAATTCAAATAGAAAAAATTCCATTAAACCATACATAGTGACCCCTATAGGCCACATACTGACTTCGAAAACCACACATTTATATATTTTATTTATTTTTTAAAATATTTCCCAATTACATTTTAATTTGTTTCAGCACACACAGGAATGCTATGGGCTGCATGCAACCTGGAGGCCAGGTGTTTAACACTTCTGATTTAGATGACTTCTAAGCACCTAACCAATTTCTGAGCTTCAGAAGTCAAAGTAGGAGCAGTAGGGACAAATTGTAGAAAGGCAGATAATAAGCTCACAGATATAAGAAGTAAAACTTCTTAGTAGTTGGAGCAACCTGAAAGTAGAATGGACTGTTTCCAAAGTTGGTGGTCTTCCCGTTTCTGAAAGGGTTCAAATAGAGTATTGAGTATCACTTGTTGGTGATATGGTAGGGAATATTCGTTCTCAGATCTTGGTAGGACTCAGTGGCTTGTGAAGCATCAGTAACCTTTCCAGTTCTAAGACTGTGCACTTCTGTTAAATGTGAGCCAGGGAAAAGCAGGGACCACCTCCCAAACCAGGAACAGGGACCAAAAAAGTCAGGACATTGACAAGATGAAATGAGAGGAGATATTTCAACATAATTTTTTATAAATTAGCATAAATCGATACCACAAAATTCTTCTCTGTTTTGCAAGTGGTATGTATTTTGTACATTAACAGCTAAAAGACTCTAGTATACAATAACACACAGGGCAAAATGAATGCTGGGCTAGGGTAAGGGGCTGGGTGAGGGAGGGGGGGAAGTAGATTATACCTTTCGAACTTTGCCTAAGACTCACCAAGATTTTGTTCCCATTCCAACTCCTATGTTTGTTGATTACAAAAGTATTCTGAGTTGCTTTTATACCAGTTTTTTTTAATTATTATTATGCAGGTTGGGTTTTAGTTCAAGCTAGTTCACTCATTTTTTCCCCTTTTTTGGTTTAAATTTTTTTAAATCACTATTTAGGCTCATTTAAGGGTTCACCAAATTATTGTAGTGGGAATTCTTGGTAGAGTTCAATTTTTGTATCAAAATATCACTTAAAAACAGCACCTAGGGAAACCCTAATTCTCAAAGGGTCCCATGTATCATATGGAACAGGCTCTTATGAATAAAAAGTAACATGGAAAACAAGTCTTAAACAGGGCAATATCTCATCATAGAATTTTGAGACTGACTCGTTTTTTTCCTCATGGCCAGAATGGTCTGAGAAATAAGTGCATTGTCAACAAACATAGAGGACGAAGGCTCTGTCATCTTTCTCCTAACAAAGCTCTGATATAAAGGGTTTTCTGGAATCAACTTTCCCACTCCATGTGAAACCAGTAAATAATATTGGATGAGTAATTTCAAAGCATATAAGACTTTTGAAATTCTCTTCTTGGTAGTACTGTTTGATTTCAGCTTTATGAGTAAATCAGTCAATTGACTGAATTGAATGATTTTCTCCCCCAGACTCTTTGATAATAGCCTATTAAGATTTAAGTGGTTTTACTCTTGCCCTCTCTTTTTGAGACTGCCTAGTAACTCAGTGTACCTTTCTCCTCATGGCAGCCCAATTGTGTGTGTGTGTGTGTGTGTGTGTGTGTGTGTGTGTGTGCGTGTGTTTTGTTTTATTTTTGTTTTTATTGGAATGGGGGGGGTAGTCTGGTATAGGAAGGTGAGTATTGTTTCTTGAACTGCCTGGAAGGCAACTATCTAGGGAAGAAGTGGGGAACCCATGGCCTCCTGTGGCCCTCTAGATCCTCAAGTGTGGCCCTTTGACTGAATCCAAACTTCGCAGAACAAATCCCCTTAATAAAAGGATCTTTTCTGTAAAACTCGGGCTCAGTCAAAAGGCTGCATGTGCCTTGAGGCCACAGGTCCCACACGCCTGATCTAGGGTCTATTTGTGATACAGGAGATTTGTCAAGAGGCCACGATACTGATTTCTTAAAGAGTTGTCTGGTTAAAGTGTGAAATTGGATTTATTAACATATCCATTTGTTATCTTACACCAATCTACTCATTTGGTGCTATGTTCAATGAGTATGAGACAACTTTTCAAAACATAAATTTAGGGTTTGATAGATTCAAAATGTAGCCTGAGGATCCCTGCAATCATTGTGGGGTTTAAGAGGGACTGGGGCAGTAATGAGGGAGTGTTTGACATTTTACCCAGAAGAATTCATGGAACAATACCAAAATTGGTTCTGTGGAACTGGGGGAAGGAGAGAATAATCATTTATTTAGATTCTACCATGTGCCAGGCACTGTGCTAAACATTTTACAAATATTAACTCATATCAACAAATATCAATATTGATAAATAATAAAATAATATATTAATAATATTTATTTGCATTAATATTTATAAATATTGTGTATTATATAAATATAACAAGCATGATAATATTTATAAGATATATTTAATAATATAATATTAATAACAAATATTAACCCTCAAAACAATCCTTCAAGATATGTGCTATTATTATCCTCAGTTGAGGAAACTGAGGCAAGCATATGTGACTGTCCAGGATCACATAGCTAGTAAGGATCTGAGGCTAAATTTGAATTCAGGTCTTCTTGACTCCAGGGAGAGCACTTTATGCACTGTACCACCAATTGCTTAGAAGTGGAGGGAGCAAGAGGAGGGGTTCTTTACCAATGATGCAATAGAGTTGCTGGGAGCAATATAAACAGTTCTGAAGACTAGAAAAAAGTGCGTGCATGTGTGTGTGCATGTGTGAGTGTATGTGTGTGTGTACGCATGAGTGTGTGAGAGAGACAGACACAGACAAACAGGCAGACAGAGATGTAATGAGGGGTGTGTGTGTGTGTGTGTGTGTGTGTGTGTGTGTGTGTGTCTAGTGCTTAAGGAAACATAGTCAACATGAGTGAGGTTTGTCACGAGGATTGGGAAACAACAACCCAAACTGGCTTTCTCTCACTCAAACACACCGAAAATTAGGAGGGGGAGGAAAGAGAGAGAGAGAGACAGAGAGACGGAGAGAGAAAAATGGGATTATATCATCTAAGTCAAAGGACAAACAAAAATGAGTTCAATTTGCAGCATGGCCAGAGACAACTGAAATGGACCAAGTTCTTGGGGGAGTCTTTTGATAATCTCCCGTGGCCCACAGGCATTGTCCCTCTGTGTCTTAAAAGGGGACCTCTCAGCTAAGCCCAAATATTTGACCAGATCTTGCCTAAAGCTTTGTTAATTGAAAATAAAACATTTATCAAGTGCTGGATCTTTGAGCAGCACAGCACCAGATGCTATTACTAGACATAATTTTGTCTTCTCCAGATCCTAAAGCCATATCTAAACTACAGGGAATCTCTCTTTAAAAAAAAAATAAATAAAACATTCCAAGTGTTTCAACATAGAATCCAAACCTAACATCACATCTGTAAGCAGCTAAGCCACATTTCATTCTGTCAACAGAACTTGCCTGAAGTGCCCAGTGAATGAACAAAAGAATACAAGAGGACAAGTAGATGACCTATTTTCTTGGTGAATGTTGTTCAGCCCAAGAATTCCATGCCAGATGATTTGGCTGACCTAGGCATTTTAATATGACATTGTATGATTCCTATTTCTAGGGACATGTAGCTGGGGATAGCTGTCAAAATACAAAGCAAAAGGTTGTGCTTGTCTGAATATTTCATACAGAGAGGAAACCTTTTCTTGTGTGAGTAAATCAATGATCATCTCCTTCGTGGGTAGTTTCTTAACCTGTAAGTGAACTCTGTGGCCATGTATGTATATGGTTGGTCTGGCCAAGTACCTGAGGTCTCTCTTCAATGACTCAATTAGAATTAATCCTAACTATTGTAGTTGACTTAACAGTGGAGATATTGATTCTATGGCCTTTGACTTGTTTCTGAGGTCAATAATTGACTGAAGTATTCAACTTGGCCGCCTGGGTTGACGTTAATGAGTTGAATCATCATCTTAATAGATTTTGATGATGATGTAGCCCAAACACCACCCTTCTCTGGAGTGCAATTTTTACTGGATTGAATTTAATAACACTGATCCAGAGGCATTCTGGTGACCCAAAATGTGGCAAACCATAAGCATATCATAACTAAGTTGGCATAGATGATACAATTTACTCCAAGGCCCAAATGAAATTTTAATTAGAATATCATGGGTTCAGAGATATAAGGGACCATAGAGGTTCTCTAGTCTATCCCTTTCCTTGTTTTAAACATGAGGAAACTGAGGCCCAGAGAGACAGAGATAGTAAATAGCAGAATGCAGATTTGAAATCAGAGCTTCTGATTCCAAATCCAGCATCTTTTCTGTTATATTTTGCAGCATCCCTAAATAAAATAGAATGTTATTAACATAATAGAGCTGGGAATGGCCTTAGAGATCATATGATTCAATTTGTGACCCAATAGGTGAGGAAACTGATATCCAGAGAGGGGAGGTGATTTGCCTGTAGTCCTACCAATAGCAATACAAGACTAAAATTTAGATCTCCTCTCATTTAGAAAAAAATTTTAATTATAAAGAATTTACTTTTTTTCTACTTCAAACTTCCCCCAACCTATAAAGAGAGAAGGAAGGAAAGAAGGAAGGAAGGAAGGAAGGAAGGAAGGAAGGAAGGAAGGAAGGAAGGAAGGAAGGAAGGAAGGAAGGAAGGAAGGAAGAAAGGAAGAAGGAAGGAAGGAAGAAGGAAGGAAGGAAGGAAGGAAGGAAGGAAGGAAGGAAGGAAGGAAGGAAGGAAGGAAGGAAGGAAGGAAGGAAGGAAGATAGAAAACCTGTATCTGATACAAGCTTAGGCGAGCAAAACAAATTCCCACCTTAACCATACCCAAAAGGTGTGTCTCTTCTGCATATTAAACCACCATCTCTTTCGTGAGGATGGCAATGCTCTTTATCAGTTTTCTGGAATGATGGTTGATCATTCAGCTGATTAGGGATCTTAAATCATTCAGAATTTTTCATTTTTACAGTACTGATGCTGTAGTATTATTCTTCCAGTTCTGCTCACTTTTATCTGCATCAGTTCCTATTAGTCTTCCCAAGTTTCCTTGAAACCATCTTCTTCTTTATTTCTTAAAGAACAAAAGTAATGTATTACGTTCATATATCCTAATTGTTTCCACCGTTCCCCAACTGATGGACACTGCCTTGGTGTCCTGATCTTTACCATAACATGAAGAGTTATTATACTTGTTTTTATACATATAAAACCTTTTCCTCTTTCTTTGATCTCTTTGGGACAATGTCATAGCAATGGTATTGTGGGGTCAAAGGGCATTCACTGTTATTAACTTTTGGAGCATAATTCTGATTTCTTTTTTCCAGGACAATTGGACCAGTTCGCAGCTCTGTTAACGGTACATCAACATGCCTATTTTCCCATAGCCCCTCCAGCATTTGTGTGTTCACTTTACCAAAGGACAAAGACCTATTTTTTCTCTGAATTCTCTTAAGTTCCTGTTCTCCAAATCTAAGAGGCATGGCAAACTATGCCTTGTGCTCCCTTGCTTTTTTTTAAATCATAAACTAAACAATGATATTACTTTCTTTCCAAAATTACAATAATTTCTATTTTGTCAATTGGCTCCTCCTTATTGGTCATAGTGATGACCAATCATTATGAATGATGATGTTGTCATTAGATTGCTTTCATCTTAAAGTGTTAACCCTGTCAAGAAGTTTTGCATTTTGATAAATATGAACTTCTTAAGGAGTTGGAGTTCTAGTGGTGGAATTGTAGACAGTATCCAATGATGGTAGAGGCTTTATAAATCTTAGGATTTAGTACTGAAAGCACGGAATATGCCAGTAAATGTTTAACAGCCAGCTTTCAAAAAAATGTGTATGACATACTTTTAAATTTAACCTGCATTATTAACATTTCTCCAAAATTTTTTTAAGTCTAGAAAATCAATAAAACAATACATCAAGCCCTGTTTTGTCATGTTTGACAATTTCTGAGGCATAAATGCTCATGTTGAAAATTTAATGATCAGCTCTTGCAACCCCAGTTCAAGTTGGCTTGAATACCCCTAGCTAAAAGGTACCCAAGAGATCATCTAGTCCTTCCCCCCTCATTTTTTAGATCACAGAATCACAGACATAGAGCTGGAGAGGGCCTAGAGTAACTTATAGTCCAAACCTCTCATTTTACAGAGAAGAAATAAGTCTGGAGTGCTGGGGAAGTCACCTCGTCCCTCTGAGCTTCATTTTATTCCTCTGTGAAGTGGGGGCTATTGTGGGAAAGGCTTTAACATTCCAATCTGTCGTCTCATAATTGATATTCCTAAAGCAGAGATAGCTGTTATATCCCTGCCTGAAAGGTTCTGATTGCCTCTCTGAATGCCTCTAGGATAAAATGCAAATTATTTTATTTGGCTTTTACAAGCCTTTCATAATCGGGATCCCATCCATCTTTCTAGATGATTTCACATTGCTCCCCTTCAGACACCCTCCTTTCTAACCAAAACGACCTACACACAATTTCTTGTCTTTTGCCACTGTGCCTTTTTTGGCCTGTCCCCGGGGCTGGAATATACTCTGTAAGTCTAGGAATCCCTAGCTCCCTTCAAAGGTCAGCTCAAGGTGCAGCTAAGTGGCTCAGTGGATAGAGGTTCAGCCCTGGAGTCAGGAGGGCCTGAGGTCAAATCTGACCTCAGACACATAATAATACTCCCTAGCTGTGTGAAGTCACTTAACCCCAAGTGCCTCACCAAAAAAAAACCATCAAACAAAGTTCAGTTCAAGTACTGCCTCCTCCTGACCTAGGCCTTTCCCAATTCCTAGACTTTTGAGCCCTGTCTAACCCCCAAACGTGTCCCTGACCAAATTACTTTATTTCTATTAACTTATTGGATTTTTAGTATTTTCCCCACTAGAATATAAGATCCCTGAGGGCCAATGTTGTTTCATTTTTTTTTGTCTTGGAAATACCAGAATCTTTCAGACCAATTTGTACTTTTTTTCCTGCCACACCTATGATTTTATCAGTATAGGGCTTTCCTAATAAGGAACTTCTTTTACAAATGCAAAACTGTATCTTCTCTGAATCTTACAATCTTAGAGAACTGCCTAGAATATTAAGAGGCTAAGTGACTTGCTCAGGGTTATACAGCCAGTACTCAGCAGAGTGGCCCTTTGAACCTAGGGCTTCCTGACTAGACACTATCTACTATACCAAGTTGCCAATAATGATAATAATAATAATAATAATAGTAATAATAATAATAATAATAATGATAGCTAGCATTTATATAACTTGTACTATGTGCCAGGCACTGTGCTAAGCACTTTATAATATTATCTTATTTAATCCCTAAAACAACCTGGTGCTATTATTATCTCCCTTTTACAGATGAGGAAACTGAGACAGACAGCAGTGAGGTAACTTGCCCAGTGTCAGACAGCTAGTATTTAGCAGAGGGGCCCCTTGAACCTACATCTTCCTGATGGACTGACTCTTTATCCACTACATCAAGTTGTTAATAATAATTATATATATATATATATATATATATATATATGTATATATATATATGTATGTATATATATATGTATGTATATATATGTATATATATGTGTGTGTATGTATATGTATGTGTACTAACATATATATGTATATGTATATGTACTAACTAATAATTAACATTTATACAGCATGTACTATGTGTCAGGCACTATGCAAAAAACAAAAACATTTCCTGCCTTCAAGGAGCTTTTTGAGGTACAACATGAGAAAAGGTGAAGTATGTTTAAGTGAATAACAATAACATGTACTTGCTTCACTTCTCTGGAAGGAGTATGGCAGGAGCTGAAGTTTTCAACAGTGGAGTTTCAAGCCCTGTCTTGATTCCCTGACATCATCACTTGGGCTCCCTCAGTTCCTAGAAATAGCTCTATCAGAAATTCTGTGGAGCATCATGGGAATTGGCTCAGTCACAGGACTAGAAATGGCTTAACTTGAATCTGATCACCCACCAAAATTTCAATCCTTTTAATGTGGTTTTCATCCATTATATTAAGCAGGAAGAAACACGTGGCTTTATTTGGCCCAACAATTAGGAGACAGATTACCAGGATACTTAAAAGATTGCAAAGTATCAGTACATAGGATAATTCTTTTAATAATTGTCTTCATTGTTTCATCAGCCTATGTAATCCTGTGACCAACACAGACTGCAGTGTTATCATGATCCCTCCACAATGTCAAAGATGGCCTAGATGAGCCTTTCCTGCAAAGATGGCAGATGCAACGTCCATCACCTTGTCAATGCCAGGAGACTTCCAGTTTGACAGCACCTTCTAGGTGCCCTACTGACATCATCTGCTGTACCCAAAAACACCAGATCATATGAACACCACAATGAAGCATTCTCAATCAACAAAGGTGAAAAGTTATAAAGGAGGCTCTGCTGTAACTTTAGGCCAAAGGTCTCCAAGTGTGAACACTAAGTGTAGCAAACTGGAGAAAGTCAAAATACATGGGTCAAATCTCACTTTGGCAACTCACTACGTATATGACTTTGGGGAAATTATTTATCTTCTCTGTGCCTCAATTTCCTCTTTTGTTAAATGACAAGAATTGGACTAGAACAGAAGTTCTTTACCTTTTTGGTGACATGCCCCCTTTAGGCAAACTGTAGAATTCTTCTGATAATTGTTGCTTAAAGGGTAAAAATAAAGTATATAGGATTTCAAAGAGAAGAAATTATATTGAAATGTATTATCAAAATATTAAGAAAAATTAACTCACGGATTCCAAATTAAGAACTCCTGGACCAGAAAGCCTCACACATTCCTTCCAATGTAAAACCTGTGAACCTACAATCTCAGGGGGTTGGGGGAAGGTCCTCTGCTTTATCATTTTGACACCTTAAAAGACTAGGGAAAAACATTTATCTCACCAATAATTAGAGAAGAGTCCACTGCCATAAGGGTATCACTGCAACTGCTATGGGAGAGATCCTATTAGCAGGCTGGCAGGCTTGTTAAAGGCTTATAATCCCTTTCTTATACTCATCATTGAAGTAGCAAGGATTCTCAATAGCTTCCCTGCCTCTGACATGCATCCAAATTTTTAATAGTGGCTAAGTACTTCACCAAGCAATTGAAAAAAAATAATGTATTCACGCACCAAAAATCTTTTCAGGCCTCTTTTCATCTCTCTATTTTAGGGCTGGGAAATGGATTATGTTTCAAATTTACATACTGGGCAATAGGTCCCCCCACCCACTTCTTCTTTGTAAAACTCCTCCATTTCCAAACTACTTGGGAGAGTTTAACACTTTTGATGATTTTGAAACTAGCTGTCAGATTTAATCTATGCTAAAGAGGCTGAGAGAGGGTGAATGTATTCTGAAGCTTGTTATATAATTTACAGATTATTTTTGCAATTTATGTTCCATCAAATAGGGTATATTAGGCTCTCAGAAAGCTCTTAATGATCAATTAATTTCAGCAGAGCAATCCTGGTGGCACTTACGGGACAGGCACGATTAGACCCCTTTCTATCTGAGTCCCAAGGTCAAGTCATCAAATATGACTGATTGCATTTTCTAATGGCTTCTCCATGCCCATTAAAGAGCACTCAGCGATTCAGACTTGCCTCTGATCATGACATTCAAAATCTGCTCTGATGGCTCCTAACAAGCAAAAATGTATTCTCTAATCTTTAACCACATAAACAATGGCTAACCACTTGTAATTGAGTTTAAATTGATTTCAGGTGGCTTCAGAGAAAAGCAATTTCTACAACAGATTAACCTCTTAATTAAAGTATATTAAGGATACTGGCAGGTGTAGAAATTCTGCTCCAGTAGAAAATTATAGCTCATTGACATTCATTTATGAAAGAATCCTTGTTCCGTTCCCAGGTAACAAGTTACTTATCCACCTTTCTTGCTGCATTCACTGAACATAAAACCAGTATAAATGCCATCATTTAAAAAGAAATATCTCAGCCTTTCTTGCAAGATGGGGTGTGGAGAGGGGGGAGGGGTGCAATGAGATGAGCTTCTCTTTCCAGCTCAAGTCATTAGGTATATTTTCTCATAGGCAAAGGAAGCGTTGTCTTCACCTCCTGATAACCAATGACCATCATTTATCTTTAGAGTGAGTGAGAGAAAATGGAAGCTATTTCCCCCTTCTTCTCAACTTACATGATGGTGAACTGTTATATATGGAAGTTTAAATATATGTGAACATGGACAAACATTGCACAGGATGGTTGGACCGGGAGGAGTTGTGGTCTGCATCACTGAAAGAAACACTTGTGTAATGAGATCACAGAACCATTGGAGTACTGGTGTCCCTGTTCCCTACAAGAATGTTTTTGTTTGATTTTGTTCATTCCAGATTTTGGGTTTTGTCTGTCTAATGCCAAAGGGGAAGGGAATAAGTATTTAAATAGCACATATTATGTGCCAGGACCTATGCTAAGTGCTTTACATTTCATCCTCACAGCAATCCCATATGGTAAATGATGTTATTGTCTTCATTTTATAATTTTGGAAATTGAGGCAAACAGAAGTTAAATGACTTATTTAGGTTCACACAGCTAGTGAGTAAAGTTGGATTTGAACTCAGGTCTTCCTGACTCCAGGCCAGGTCTCTATCCACTGTGATAGCTAGCTCACCTTTCCCCCCACCCTAGAGTGTTTTTGTTTTTTAATTGGAAAATTTTTGATAAAATGGGGAGGAAAAAAGTAATGTGAATTTCCTACCTGAAAATAGTTCAAGACAAGTATCTAAAGCAAATTTTATTATACATAGGAGGTGACAATATTAAATGCACATTACCAAGATTATTCATTATTAAAAGGTCCTCATTTTATCAGGCAAATTCCATAGAAGAAAGCTTCTTTATTAAAGGAGATGAGGACAAATGACCACTACGGCATAGGGGAAAACCAAAGACTTTTGAAATAGACTTCAACATTCTACCACTGGGTGCTTGCATTGCATAACTTCCGACAGTCTGAAAGCCTTTTTAAATAGGACCATAGGTGCCAAAGGAATTGCTTGGGTCCAGTATTTTAGGGGAAAATTCATACTAGTCAGTGGTAATCACCTATTCAAAATAAATAATTGACTCACTGAGTTTTTCCTTTTCTAGTGGTCTTCTAGAAGAGTCATCTCTTCGTCCCCTCCTCTTATTCCATCTAGATGTACCTCTTTGTCTCTGCTTTCAGACTCAGGCCCATCCATAGTCTGTGATCAATAGAAAGATAAATCATTGAATCCCACAACCACAGAATTTCACAGTAGGAAGGGAACTCCAAAATCAGCATCCCCCTGACAACATTCTTGCAACCTTTGCTTGGAAGATCTTGCCCGGAGCAGCCTGTTCTACTCATGAACAACAGCTCTAACATTACTTACACCCATGCTTTCCCTTACACTGAACCAAAACCTAAATCTCAGGAACATCTACATACCCCTAGTTCTGAGCACAGATGCACATAAGAAGCAAATACCTCAAAGGGCTCAAGCCAAGTCTCCATTCACAAAGCTTTCTGATGGTCTGTGACTATAGTGATGGCTTCCTAGTCACCCAGTGGTGTAGACTACAGGTGGAGAACCTGTGGCCTCAAGGCCATATGTGGCCCTCTAAGTCCTCAAGTGTGGCCCTTTGACTGAATCCAAACTTCACAGAACAAATCCCCTTAATAAAATGATGTGTTATGTAAAACTTGGACTCAGTTAAAAGGCTTCACCCAAGGACCTAGAAGGCTACATGTGACCTCAGGCCGCAGATCCCCCATCCCTGGTACAGAAGTTCTACCCACACAAAGCCAGAATCCTTCAGGCCTGATAAATGTCCCAAGCCATGGGAGTCACCTCATTCTGTCCTGCTGACCAGGTTCCTTAATATGGAAGAAAGGAGGAGAGGGCAAACTGAGTGCTAGATCCTTGTTGAGCACCCTTTCTATATTTTGGCTAAGTAAGCCTCCTTTTGTTAACTGCTGAATGACCTCTGAGTAGCTAATTCCATTCCAATATGGCACCTAAACTATGAAGAAATCAGCCCAAGTTGGGCTTAGCTCACCACACCATCGAAGACCTAATATAACTTCAAGACTTGATCAGGAACATGGATTTTGACCTACAGGTATTGTAGATTACATTGGGATGGAGTTACATGACTGACAGCAAGAAAGAGAGACCACATCTGCTTCCTATCCACATAGTGGTGGCCTATTCTCTTCCCAAGTAGTTCCCTTTCACTTGAGCCTAGAATCTCAGTCTCTTCTCCTGCAGCTATACTCTTCAAGGGCCCTGGCAAGCTTGTCTATTGGGCAAAGAGATCATACCTGTCAGAGTCAATAAACGCTTATTAAGAGCCTACTGTCTGCAATACTCAGAGCTGGGGCCACAAAGAAAAGCATAAAACAGTCCTTGCCCCCAAAAAGCTCATAATCTAATGGGGGAGGCAATATATAAAAAAGCTAAAAAGTAGGGGGGGGAAGTTACCTGTGGGGTAACCTTTGCAGCAAAGGTGGGAAATGATCTGAGGAGGTCTGAGTTTCTGAGTTGACTTCATCTCGCAGAATGATGAGTTTCTAGAGATGATAAAGTCTAGGAAAGTAGCCAGGTGGGGAAGAATGAGGATAATTCACTGGGTGCCATTCTCTCCAACCAGGAGGAAAGAGAGGCTCAGGGGCAGGGGAGGCTGAGGAGGTGTGAGTTTCCAAGTTGTTTTTATCTTGCAGAATGATGAGTTTCTGAAGAAAACAAAGTCCAGAAAAGTAGCCAGATGGGAAATAACACATAATGCTTTGCAAACATAAAGCATTATATCAGTGCTAGCAGTTATCATTATTAATATTACATTAATAGTAATAAGCATACAGATGCTCAGTGACACTGTATGACAGGTGTGATTTCACCTGACAAAAGTGCCATGTCAAGACCCAAGATGTTGTCATACATTGGTCCAAGGCTATAAAAAGCCTACGGATTATCAGAAAGCAATAACAAAGCATAGTTTCTTGTCCACACCCCATTGCAATTATTAAAAAATATCTTAAATAATTTTCCCCTATGCATTTCATGCTCAACCCCAAAGGCAAGATTGTCCCTAACAGGGTGAAAAATTCTGATGAGGCAGAATGTATTCATCACCAGTCATTGCATTCCTGAGTTTGGTTCCAAGGGAATTTCACTCATCAGGATATTATACTTGTTGCTGCCTCTGCCACAACTTAATTATAAAACCAGGACTAGAAATATTTTCACCTGGGGTAAAAACATTGGGGGTGGTGGGTGAGGGAATAGGAAGAATAAGGTCAGTTTGACTGGTGCCGTCACACTGGGAGGAGTGGTCCAACCATCACACCTACCTCCTGCGTGGTTTGAGGAGAGAGATGTTCCCTAAAAAAAGGTACCAAGCAATGGAAAGCTGGGTAGAGATGATACAAGAGATAATTGTACAGTGTAGTGGCATGGGCTGGTGGGGTGCCTCGAGGGTCACCAAGGTGATGAAGTTCAATTCCATGAGAAGGGAGAACAGGAGAAAAGAACACTACCCTGAGGAAGAAGCAGCATGCTACCCCTGATTAAGCACATTCCCAGAGATTTTGATACCCTGGGACAAATTCCATGTGGCCTAGACTAGTTAGCTCTGCTCATTTATCATTGTTAGTCTAA